CACTCATTAGAAAAGCGAAGCAGCTGCCATTTTTAAGTCAGCGCTGCTTCTTAACTATTATAGTGTAGCCTAAATAGCGTGCAGGGGAGTGTGTTCTAAATCAGAGAACATTGGAAAATGTTTCCAGTTTATATTTTCTTATAGTTTTAAATGATTTGTTCGCCCATAACTGAACAAATGCGAACCATTTACTCACCATTAAAGATCCTGTGAGGTGCTTTGAAATGTGAAATTTTATTAAATGTTTGATGTAATCTCAAATTAAAATTGAAGCGAAGGCGAGACGCAGAGTAGCCCCTCCTCTTTTTAAAAAGTAGCCAATAGTGTTGCTTTTATGACAGCTCTTAACTGAGTAGGTTAAACTTTTTTCACTCGATAAGAAAAGATGCGCATAAACTACGACGGAAACGCTTTTAGCGCACAAATTCCGTAATCCACATTAAAAAAGGTCATGTAATTTTGTAATAAGAGATCATGGCTGCGTTCGAAACCGCCTACTACTCACTAGGTACTGCATATGAATTTAAACGTATTACTCGGCCATTAGAAAAGTACGCTGTATACAGAATGAATGTAAGAAGTATAAATGGAATTAGGACGGTAAAGTCTAGATCGAATTTGCGGCCGGCCGGAAGTGCAATATGCACATTAATAAAGCAGCATTTTTTATGACACTGTATAACAATAATTAATATTTTTACAGTACTGTGAGGGTTGGGGTGGGGGTAGGCGTAAAAAAATACATTTTATTGCGTAATTTAATAGATAACATAACTAAAACTCGGTACAACTACAGTTTTTACATTACTGTGACGGTTGGGTTTAGGGTTGGGGTGGGGGTAACGTTAGACGTTAATAAAATACAACAAATGAGAAATGTAATAAATAATAGAAATAATTTCCCTAGTAGCAAAGAAATCTGGCCCAGATTTGGCAAAAAAGCTGGCACAGCAGGCATTCATCCGGCACTGACATACAGCATGTGGGCCAAACATGGCCCGGGTTTGGCAGAGGTGGCACCGTTTTTAAGGCGGCACACAAGATTTGGGCCAGATGAAAAACGTAGTATTTGGCCCAGATTTAAAAATTTGATAAGTGGGCCATGTGAGTTTGGCCAGTCTTGACCCACATTTAAAATACACTAAAATCATTTTTGAGTAAAGAAAAAAAATTCTACCAATCAGGTCACTTTGAGAAAAAGCGTGCCCATAGTATGCCTAAAGCGCATTACTCCATGGGTTTATCAATTTCATTGCAATCGTGACACACCAACCTATCTGGCCCAGTTCAGGCCCAGTTATGAGTTATTAACTTGGCTGAGACTTGGCCCAGATATGGTCTGTGTTTGGCCCTTGTCTGGAAGCCAGATTTGGTCCAGTCATGTACCGTAATTCACTGCGGCATGTGGGCCAAGCAAAACCTGATTGTGTGGGCCAGAGTTGAGCCAGAGAAATTTTGCTATGTGGGTTGCGTTAACTTCCGGCTGCAAACGTATCCGCTCTAGCAACAACCAATTAGGACGTACTACATCCGCCATTTTGTCATGGTCACGTGACCTACCTGCTTCAGTTGCTTTGCTTCACTCCTATTCATGAATTCTCTCGCGGGGTATCATGGGATTGCACAGCATGCATCGGATGCGCACTTCAGAATCTTGCCAAGTCACCGGGTACCTCTCGCATACTGATTTTCGAATACTATCGGACATAGCTACTACTTGGCTCACATACTGATTTTAGCGTTCTATATAGTATAAACGTATGCGGTTTCAGAATGTGTAATTGGACAAACTAGCAGGCAAAGCACATTGTAAACCATCTGAAGTGTCGTTTTGGTCATTCTAAAATGCCTTACCATTTAAGTATTAGTGTTATATTATTGATGACCTCCAGAATCAAGAGCCTCTGTGCTCCTCTTCTGACACCTTAAAACCCCACCGCACGTTCACTGCGTGTCAGGATTGCCTTCTGAGGCACAAGTCATCTATTAGATGAAGAAAAGATTGATGCAGCTTCTCCTACTGCTGCAAATAAAGTGGAGGAACTATGACATCAATTTGCATGCAAAAACCCGGAAGCGAGTTAGCATTTTAGCAGTTCCGGTTCCCTAGTTGCAGAGTCAAATTGTAGAATTTTGAGGAAATAAATGAATTTAATCCATTTTGGAATAAGGATGTAACAGAAAAATGTGGAAAAAGTGAAGCGTTATGAATACTTTCCGGCAGGCCCGGATTGGCTAATCGGGAGGACCGGGAGAATTCCCGGTGGGCCGGTCCGTTTTTTGGCCGCGAGGGCCGGTGTCCCTAGCTCCAGGATCTGTTGCTCTCAGCAGTCACACTTTTTAAATTAATTAATTAATTTACTTGACCACAGTGTTCTTGTTCATTATTTTAGCGCAGCTCTGCTCTTCATATATATATATATATATAATCAGCCTGCAGGTTAATGATGATATAACTCAGATGAGTCACTTTTCAATATACAGCTCTTGTGGTCCAGTGGATAGCACGTTAGAATACAACGCTGCCGATCCGGGTTTGATCCTCATCTGAGTATTTATTATTTTTTTATTGTTAGGACATATAATACTGTTAGGGTTGTTGAACATTTTAAGTTAAAAAGCAGCTGTTTTCTCAAAAAAAAAGACGTGATAGTGTATTTAGAAACTGAATTGGAAATGACCTTATTTTAATATAGTCAGTCATGAACTGAGGTGGGCCAGTCTGAGGCTTGAAACTCCAGGGCTGAAAAGGAGTCCCACTCCGGCCCTGCTTTCCGGATGTACTGTACTGCCATGCCATGAAAAGGTGTACCTAATAAAGTGGCCAGCGAGTGTATTTTGCTGTGTGACACAGTGGAGTATTAACTGTCTCACAGCACACTCATAAGTAAGCAGTTTCCTGACATTCAGAGTTTCAGTGATTTAACATAACCACTAATTTAATGCAAAGCTGAAACTGAAATGATAATCTTGTTATGCCCTGAAAAGCAAACATCCTAAACAAAGAGAATTGTTTGCAATTAGAGCATATAAAAGACATAAATTATTGAAGACTTTACGTGAGCTGTGATTGGTCAAACAGAAATGGAATGGACAGGTTCCCGTTCCGTCTCCTGAAGCAGGTGCTGGAGGACATTGATATGCAGGGAAGAGAGTCTACTATAATAAAGCAAAGCTACATTTTTTCACGTTTCTGTAGCCATTCTTAATGGAATCTCATCACTCACCGAGAGTAAACAGTGTCTGTGCAGAGATACACGCTATAGCAAACATCATGGGACCATATGCCACAGCATTCAGATGGTCTCATAACATTAGCATCAGCGTGTGTCTAACGAGAAGAAGCTTTATCACAAAATCACCTGTGCGGAGAACAAGATTTATCCAAATACTGCATGTTTATGAAATGCAAAAGTCATTTAAGGGAACAGTTCACCTAAAATGCAAATCCATATTTGTATGCTGTGTGCATAAAGCACAATGCATTTTAATATACATACTGGACACTCACCGGCCACTTTATTTGGTACAATTTACTAATACCGGGTTGGACCCCCTTTTACCTTCAGATCTGCCCTAATCCTTCGTGACATACTGTACTATAGATTCAACAAGGTACTGGAAATATTCCTTAAAGATTTTGGTCCATATTGACATGATAGCATCACGCAGTTGCTGCAGATTTGTTGGCTCAACATCCATGATGTGAATCTCCCATTCCACCACATTCCAAGGTTGCTCTGTTGGATTGAGGATCTGGTCACTGTGGAGGCCATTTGAGTACAGTGAACTCATTGTCATGTTCAAAAAACCAGTCTGAGATGATTCACACTTTATGACATGGCGTGTTATTCTGCTGGAAGTAGCCATAAGAAGATGGGTATATAGTGGTCATAAAGGGATGGACATGGTCAGCAACAATACTCAGGTAGGCTGTGGCGTTGACACTATGCTCAGACCAGGCAACGTTTTACCAATCTTCCATTGTCTATTTTGGTGAGCCTGTGCAAATTGTAGCCTCAGTTTCCTGTTCTTAGCTGACAGGAGTGGCACTCGATGTGGTCTTCTGCTGCTGTAGCCCATCCACCTTAAGGTTGGACATGTTGTACATTCAGAGATGCTCTTCTGCATACTTCGATTGTAACAAATAGTTATTTGAGTCTGGCCATTCACCTCTGACATCAACAAGGCATTTGCGCCCACAGAACTGCCACTCACTGCATATTTTCTCTTTAATGTACCATTCTCTGTAAACCCTAGAGATGGTTGTGTGTGAAAATCCCAGTAGATCAGCAGTTTCTGAAATACTCAGAATAAGCTGTAGAACAATACCTAATAAACCTAATTAAGCGGCTGGTGAGTTTATATTAACATTATTGTCTTAATATGTAAAAGGAAATTATAATAAGATGAAGTAATAAATGGTAAATGCAGACAGCCAAAATCTGTCCAGAGGTATATCTTTAACTGCTAATTGATTAAATATATCACAAAACTAAAAATATTGTTTTTTTATGTCATCTTTTAGAAATATTAAGACACTATTTATAGACAATATTTCCATGGCCATTAACCCCCCCCACCCCCCCCCCCCCCACACACACACACACACAAAAAAAATTAAAATAAAAAATTTCAATATAATACATAGAGTATATACTAGTATATAGTATATATGCAGCACTATATTGAAAAAAATATGACTGTCTTAGCAGTTTTGGCAACACCCCTTGTGCTATAAATAAGATATGCCCTACTTTCCAAGTTATCTAAAGCAATATAATAAGCTTTTGTGAAAAACAGATCGTTCTTTATTGATAATCACACAATGCTATTGTACAGAACATTCAGAAGACTTAATATAGTGCATTCATGTTGTTAAAGCATTTTCAGTATTGACAATATTATCATGATGATTGTGCAAAACATGAGCACCATAATCTTTCCTTGAGGAAATTAAATGAATATTCCTTAAGAAGTGTTTAATTCTCCCTCCACAGGTTCTACAGATGTAGTGGCGTGTTCTGTTCATGGAATAAGACGTGCTGCGACTGCGGCCTTGCACATCATCATGGGTACGTTCATCAGTCTTTCACTTATAAATGCATTAACTCCAAGCCATTCTTAAAGCTGCAGTCTGTAACTTTTTGTGGTTAAATTTTATCCTAATTGAAGTTTTGAGCAAAAGCATAATCAGGCAGAAATTGCAGGTTTTAAACAGTGTTGGTGACAAAGGGACAAAATCTACTGACTGCAGTTTTAAAGGAATAGTTCACCCAAAAATGGAAATGCACTTATTATTCGTTCACACTCAATTTGTTCTAAACCTTTATGCATTTCTTTATTTAGCTGAACACAAATGAAGATATTTAAAAGAAAGCTGAAAACATATAAACATTGAATTACACAAAAGCACTTACTATGGAAGTCAATGGTTGAGGCTCGGATTTTGGTCACTCTTGTTCGTTTCATTTAGGCTATTTATTCACTTATTTATTACATTTTATTTATTATTACTTTGCATTGCTGCCTTGATTCATTATTACTGATTTTATCAGTGAAGATTATGCAACGATACAGTTTACATAAAAGCAGACAGATAATGGCTTCAGTGCCAAATGAGTGCTTTAAATCATATTTTATTCTCCTTATTCCTTACCGTTTTACTTCAAATAATATAAATGTTTGAAGTTTTAGGTAGAGACGTCAAACTATGCCCATGCTAACCCATGGTTAGACTATTCTATAACCTGTAAATAAATATAGCATGGTGAAATCAATAGTCATCACGTTTCACGTAGCCTTACCCAACCAACATCAGTGTTAAGAAAAAAGATAAATGTTACAATCTAATGTCTTTTAAAAAAAATATTAGCTAAATGTGTTACATTTTAAGGCATTAGTGTAGCCAGAAAAAAATATCTAAAAAAAGATACCTGAATGTACAGTTATTACTGTGAAAATTGGTTAAATTTTGGCATGGATAACACACAACTTAATAGGCTATATAGTCTAACTAAGGTAAAAATAAATATTTATGTTAGGCTATCATAAGTGAGTTTTTTTTCGTGATATTGTCTGGTTGCCATTTGTAAAAATGCCTTCATAAACCTTTAGGCTAATAGGCCTACTTGCCAATTTTTTTATTTATTTAGCCTATTTTATTAACTATTTAATAACTTCAATAAAAATCAGGTTACATTATTATTTTTAGGGCCATGAGCTACAAGTCTAAACTAAATCGATAGGCTAACCATATTTTAGCTGTTAAAATAGGCCTACAATATATTTTCTGTTGTTTAATTTTGCCTGAGCAAATATCAGCCTATTACATATTTACACTGAAGCTAAGCAGGGCTGCGCCCGGTCAGTACCTGGATGGGAGACCACATGGGAAAGCAAGGTTGCTGCCGGAAGTGGTGTTAGTGAGGCCAGCAGGGGGCGCCCAACTTGCGGTCTGTGTGGGTCCTAATGCCCCAGTATAGTGACGGGGACGCTATACTGCTCTGTGAGCGCCGTCTTTCGGATGAGACGTTAAACCAAGGTCCCAACTCTCTGTGATCGTTAAAAATCTCAGGATGTCCTTTGAAAAGAGTAGGGGTTTAACCCCGACATCCTGGCCAAATCTGCCCACTGGCCTCTGTCCATCATGGCCTCCTAACCATTCCCATATTCCAATTGGCTTCATCACTCTCTCCTCTCCACCAATCAGCTGGTGTGTGGTGTGCGGTCTGGCGCAAAATGGCTGCCGTCGCGTCATCCAGGTGGATGCTGCACACTGGTGGTGGATGAGGAGATTCCCCCCCCCCCCCCCCCCATTGTGTGTAAAGCGCTTTGAGTGCCCAGAAAAGCACTATATAAATGTAAGGAATTATTATTATTATTATTATTATTATTATTTTTAAAAGATAATCATTGAGCCTACCTGCAGCGCATTTGAGCAAAGCCACTTACGCACTATATATTTAATTTATAACACCATAAACTTGACTTTGCAGGCCGATCATCTTTAAACTCAAAAGGCATTTTTAAAGTGTTTAAAGTGTTTAAAGTGTAACTGTGGGACTGTGCAGTGTCCAACTAAACATTTTTATGAGGCTACTCTTAATCCCGAAGTGAAAAACTAAAGTAAAAACGACTGGAAGTTGCAATTCTGTTTAAATTAATTCAACGGCAAATTTCTTCTGCGTTCTTCCTTTTAGGGCTTAAGAGAGTTGTATTTAAAGAATAAGGTAACCAAAACATGTAATGAATTAGGCTGCTCGCCTTCATCTCATCCACTAGTCCAGTTTTCTCCAGTGTGAGTTTAGAGTGCGCTTCTGCGTGTGTGTTTTAAATGTTATACGGGGTGCACCCTGACCAGACGCGGGGACCAGATCTCTAGACCTTTATATTCACAATTTTCAGAATTTAATTGCTATTTCACATTTTAAAATATCTAAATGTGCTCTGAAGGTTGGAATGAGGAGAGTGTTAGTAATTAATGATGGAAAGAATTTTTAGTTCTTAGTGAACAATCCTTTATGAAAACTGGGGGGCACAGTGTTGGGCCCCTCCATACAGTAGCACCATATTTACAACTATCTTAAGAATATCTTCTTTTGTGTTTAAGAGATAAAAGAAACTCAAACAGGTTTAGAACAAGGGTGACAGGATTTTCAAAAATAAACAATTTCCTCAAGTGGTTCTAAAGTTTTATAAATTTCTTCTGTTGAACGCAAAACAAGATATTCTGAACAATGTTTAGGAAAAAACAGACATTGACATCCATCCATAAAATACTACTTTTTTTTTGTCCAATACACTTCAGTACATCATTTGTGTTCAACAGAGAAAGAAACTCTAATAGGTAAAACTGTTGAGTAAATGATTACACAATTAAAATTTTAGCATGAACGCTCCCTTTAAGACACTAACAGTCAAGCCTTGAGGAACTACCTGACTCAATGGAGCACCGATATACATGATAATAACATGTAAATACAATTCATATTTACATTTCAATTCCATCGAGTTATGTTTGCAATGCAAAATGGTTTCATTATCACCCTATGGAAGCCTCTCTCTCTTTATCACGCATCCCAATGGCAAATGCATTGGTGGCTATTTGTAATCTGTTGTTTAATTAGAGTGCACAGGCTGTTGTTATGGGGGCCGAGAGAGAAGACAAACCCCCCACGCAGGCTCTGCCTCTCCAGCTTTGGAGATCATGGTTAACAGGTCCCATGGAACGATAGACGGTCCCGAGAGAGGTGGAGATACGTCTGTCGTCGATCACCCGTACGGTCACCGCCGCAAACGCACAGCTTTTTTTGACGTGGCTTCGGGCCGTCGCTGGAAGTGTTACTTCTGGCTGGCACTGTTCTCTTTGGCTTTAGTGCTGCATGTTCTCTGTCTGACTGTCTGCTTGTCTGTCTGTGAAGCGTTTTTTTGAAGTTTACACCAATATGTCTGGGCCATTGTGTCGACTGTGCAAGCTCTCCTGGGCTTAGCTTAACAGACAAGCGGATTTGGCTTGTGTCAAGGGATTACACGCACAAGCTAAGCTCGCATCCTCCAAAAAAAAAAAAAAAACACGTACTGGCAAAAATTCTGCTTTACAGCTAAATTAGGATTGGGATGAAGACAATCAGAAGCACACAACAGAATAACTGAATCACACAATGATGTTCTTTGTTGGCACTGATTGTTCTACTGTATGTGGAACATTATGATGTGGTGATATTCTATTTGTAATAGGTTCAAATAAGGTTCCTTGTTTGGTTAAAGAGTTAATTCCTAAAGCTAAATCCTGGCATTATTAAGTCACTTTCATGCTATTCTCTAGAATGATGTATGCTTTTATTTAGTTCTACATAAAAAAATTCTAGACTTTAAAACGTGCTATTAAATTGTTCAACCAAAACTGAAAATTGTCATAACGATTTTTTTTCTCTGTTGAACACAAGCAACTTATTAAATTATTCTAAAGGATTAAAAGTTATTTATAAAAAATGTTGCAAACCTGTAACATTGACATCCACAGTAGGATAAAAACTACGAACATTCTACCATTCTTCAAAATATCTTATTTTGTGTTCAACAGTAAATCAAAACTTGAGGGTTTATAAATTTTCTTTTTTGGATGAACTACCCCTTTAAAAGAAGGATTTCTAGGTATAGTTCACACAAAAAGTTTAATTCAGCCATTATTTACTCGTCCTTTTGTAATTCGAGAATACTGCATACTTCAAATTACATCTGTACAGAGTTTTACACAAGTGACAATATATACAGTATATATATTGTAGACAATATATAGACAATACCCCTCACAAATATTTTTTTATAACTCTATGAAATTGCCTCTTGCAGGTTTTGATCCAAACTGTGTCGTTTGGTGACTGTCACTTTAAATTCAAATGTGCTCTTTGCAAAAGAGGGCGAAGCTACAAGCGTTGATAATTTAACATTGCAGATTCTAATACAGGAGTTACATTATCTCTGTGTACAACTGAAAATGTCAAAACAAGTGGTTCAGAAGATAGTCTATGGAGACTACAGTGTTCAATTGTGCATCCTAAAACTTAGTCGCTGACATAATCTTCAGCAAGTACAGTACAGAAAGTCTAACGCCATACAGCTGCTTGTCATTCAGAGCTGTCTATGCTAATGAGAGAGGATTCATCACTAATGGGCGGGACTTTCCCTCTCTGATGACAAAAAAATACCAAAATAAATCAACCCAAGCTTATTCTGAAAACGTAGCCCCGCGGACGTTTCTGAAGACAGCGATTTACATGGCCGGAGGTACGTACTGTATGGCTGCATTTCGTTTTTTTAAGCGAATGCTAGGGGGTGGTGTGACACTGCTCCTCTTCGTGCTCGCCGGCTGACGGCTCACCTCCTTGTGGAGGGCTTTCTCGCTGCAACCAGTTTATCCGGTTAGCTCGTTGTGTTAAGTCGGCAGAGTGGATGACCAGAGGGGCCTTCCACAGCGGCCTCTCACAGATTCGTGAAAACAAAAACTGCACAAATACGTTCCTCCCGGGACGTATTTCGCCGTCTCCAGAAACATCTGCGGGGCTACGTTTTC